CGAGGGTAAAGGATTAGACTGATTGGGTCGATAATCAGACTTTTCCAAAAGGTTTCAAAATGCCTGAATTTGTCGTTTTTATTGGCGAAGATGAACAATCGACCATCAAACACATTGTTCGATAAGCCCAGAGTGGGAAAGCAGGGACAAATGAGTTTTTAAGACTTCGGTTAGTTTCTTTATCTTTGTCAAAAACTACTTTTACCCCCGGTACACTAATTTACCACATAATACGGTGTGTAATTGGGCAGAGATAGAAAGACAATTCTCTTCTCAATTTTACCGAACGACATCCGAAATATCAATTGTTGATTTGGATAGATTTTATCAATACAATAATTAGTCGATCAATTAGTTTGTTGCTCGGTGTTAGAAGACTAGGAATAAATGATTTACTTACTCTTAGAAAAAGGGTTCAAGAATTTGGCTTTTGGTGAATTCAAAATCAATTTAATAGAAAAATTTGGAAGCCGAGATTTTGCCGATTTATTTCAATTGGCAAATAAAGTGTCAAAGTATGAGCAACTTTTTAAACATAGAGTTAAAGGGCAACCTGAAAACTTTATATAAAACAAGACTTTAATGAAAAATTATGAGTCAAAATATGAATTTGATCCAAACGAAAATATTGAAATAAATGCAGCATATGTGATACTCAACAAGCCTTACATTCGTTGATCCTTAAAGCTTGCCGAAATATACAGAAAAAAGAATGGCCACGGTTAAAGACACTTAAGTTTACTTGTTTGCATTTATAAGTTGGACGAAATCTTCGATTCGCTATTAAAAGATGATTGTGATAAAATTTACGAAAGGCCAAGTTATCTCAAGGCTTCTCACTCCCGGATCCGGACATTTCCAGTGAGCCCATTTAACCGTTTGATTCGAGTCCCTCTTCCCGAGGATCTCGACTCGGAGACATCGTGATGCGGTCGGCCATAGTTCGACTCGTCTCGAACTCGCCCTCTGGCCACCGTCTCCGAGTGGGGGTAGGGATTTTCGCGGTCAAAACTCATTGCCGTGAACCCCTGTTGCTTCGGTCCTGTTTTGGCCGAACCGTGAGACCAAGGCTTCCTATTTCTAGTTCGTATGCTTGTTGGTGTCTACTAAGTCGTTTCCATTTGACGTCGAACATTTCTTGGTGATTCCTGTTGGGTCTATGTGTGAGTTTGGCTCTTAGATCGGCCACCACCTCCTCCTCTATCCTTGCTCGCCATGTGTTCGATGAAAAGCCTGAACCAAGGGCATATGATTGATCCTTAATTATTTAATTTAAAAGAATCGAATAATTGGTGATAAATTCCATTCTTTTAAAAGGGGCTATGTTGACACCAAAAAATGATGAACTTTTGATTATAATCGACAAGTGACCGACTTAATTGATAGTAGTAGAGTTTGGTGAACAACAAAAGTCATCGATGACTTGCAAGCAATAGATACAAAAACGTAATTGATGGGCGATTATGTTTATTACCGCTATTTTAGGATTATTGTAACTTATTATGGATAAGTATTGTTTTTTTTTTTGATAATCGAGGTGTCCGCGCGGCCGGCGAGCTAGGGCTCAAACTAGCGATGATGTCCGACTAGTCCTCTTGGGGGGCTAGCGCAGCATTCCACCGCCACGACCCCCCACTTAAATCACCGATGGGCGAGTTTGAAGTGGATAAGTATTGTCGTCACTTCTTATCACCACAAATAAGATTAGATTGTTATTTTTTTAAAAGATAATACTAGAAAGTTATCTTTTCAAATTATAAACATTTGTAACCATAGGTTATGGGTTATAAATAGCTACATTGTACTTTTTTGTAAATTATCCCCAATCATTCAAAGAACTCATGGCTCCTGTAATTTAACTTTTATCTTTGCTTTCCTGAATTTTAAATGGCCGCCGCTATTGCATGTTCGTACCTTTATAGTCCTTGCCATTTACTTTCCTGTCCAAAGTCAACAAATGACTCTTCGCAACCTGCTGATTCACGCATCCATCCATCAATATTTTGAAAGGTATTTCATCGATACATTCTGTTGAAACAAAAGAACGACGAAAATCACAGAATTGGAAGAAAAATAGGACAACAAGAAAGGAAAGAAAAATAAGAGAAACGACAGAGGAAATTGGAAGAAACGCCAAATCTTGGCAGTAACTCAATAATCTCAATATCAATCCATAATCAAAGCTCACTAAAGAGAAGCAATAACGCCGGTATATAATTCAGTGTATTCGGTGAACTTAGTTTCCTAATCAGGTAAACATTAGACAGGTAGATATTATAATTGTTAAATTGTGTCTCGAATTTGAGCCCGTGTGAATAATCTCAAGGAATCCATTTTCCTATTCGGATTAAAATTCATCTGATGAAGTAATCTCCTCGACTGGTTTCGGACGAAGGGGCTCGCGATTATTGGCTCATATATATAGGATTGTTCAAAGGACTTGGACGTGTGGTTGTTTGTTACTTCTATGTATCCACCACAAGATTAAAGAAGAGGCACACTTATTTTATATATCTATTTCACTTGGGATGAGTCCAGGTCAAAAGAAAAGTTGTTGACTCCTACAAAAGAAAAAGAAATAGGGCGTGGGTTCCCGAGTGTGCACCGTAGCCGCCGGTCGTTCTTGGTGTTTTGGCCGCATGAGACTTTGAACACCCGGTGAATTTGTGCCGTGAGTTCTATATCCCAATTTGAGTTGTTTATTTGTAAAGACTTTGGGGTTAGATATAATTTAGGCGTGGGAAACACTCAAGCGTATGTGTGATTGTAACTTTGATTATTCAACTATAATGAATTATTTGCTACCGGCTATTCCCGCAAATGTAAGTATCAATACTCTGACCAAACCGCTTAAATCTTTGGTATCCTTTATTATTCTTCATTTATTTCTCTGGCTCTCTCGCATGATTGCAAGATTCGATTAGCGCTTCCGCATTTCATTATACAACAATAACCCCTATTTTTAATTAGACGATAATAAAGTTGAAGATGAGGAAATTAAATTAAGGTGCAATCTCTTTAATTAGTAAGTTTCAAAACGATACTGTAAAAAGTCCCCTGATTTTGCACGGAATATACAACTCCAGAAAAGTTTAAAAAATGACCTCGAATTTCAAATGGATTTGTTAGTACACCTCATTTAATTAATTTAAAAATTATTTATTATGAAGTAATCTCGATGTTGAGTTAAATGTAATTAATGGCTTTCGAATCAAAATGAATTTTAAATTTTGGAAACTAAAAAAAATTCACAATGCTGATATTCATGCACTTTTAAACGTTTAAGGTATTCGACCAAAAAAAAAAAACGTTTAAGGTATTGATACTAAACAAAAAAAAATCTCAAAGCTAAAAAGAAAGTAATGAACAAAAGTTGTAAGTAAAGTTTATTCATATTAAAATCATCCAAAAACTCATTTATCCGACAACTCGTGAAATTATATATACCTAATATATATATCAATAATATCTATATAAATAAAAGTCATATCACTTGACATTTTGATTTGGATGGATGGAAACGCGTGGTATTGCAATTAAACAAAACATTTCTAATTTCGTCGGGGCTAGTGGGAAGAATTGTTAGGCCTCGCTTATTTGAAGGACGACAATAAAGCATAACGTGAAATGAATAAAATAGAAATCATTGAAAAATGTAAAGAAGGTTCCATCGTGACGAGAAAGTCGAGCGTTCTTCGAAAATTCACAAAAGTAGTATCTTCTTAGAAAATTGAGTGCTACGATCAAAGAAAAAGTTCTGATAAATTTAGGGAAAATGACACAAATAATCCTTGAATTTTGACTCAATGTGCAATTTGGTCCCTAAACTTTTAATTTATTTAATGTAGTCCCTGAACTTTTACCCAATGTTCAATATAGTCCCTGAACTTTCAATTGGTTCAATGTGATCCCTGAACTTTTGGTACATGTTCAATATAGTCCCTGAATTTTATAAAAATGTTCAATATAGTCCTTACATTAATTCAAGTTCAAGGACTATATTGTATATTTTCATATAGTTCAGGGATTAAATTGAACATTTACTAAAAGTTCAGGGACCAAGTTGAACAAATTGAAAGTTCATGGACCACATTGAACATTAGGTTAAAGTTCAGGGACTACATTGAACAAATTAAAAGTTCAGGGATCAAATTGCACATTGAGCCAAAGTTCAGGGACTGTTTGTGTCATTATCCCATAAATTTAATACTCAGTGATTGTTCCATAGCGCATCATGTGCTGCTTGAAGAGTATCTAAAAGTACACTGCAACGTACGACAATGACGGATGACCTTCGCATGAAAGGAGGTGAAGTTTTTTGGTCTTTACGACAAAGAGAGGACTCACGTTGCAGATGAAACGAAGTGAAGTTTTTTCGTCTGTGCATGGGGCTCATAGCTTGGGGAAGGTCCCGACGCTTTACTTTATCTGGTTTTCATGCAAAAGAGTCCCAAACAAATTAGAACTACAGTCCCGAGCTTCCTTAAGTACCGTGTCATCAATCTCCCCACCAAAGTACACCTGCTAGCCACAACAAGTTCGATTCTGTGAGTACAATAGGATTCGTATGTACAGATTGAATTCGAACCGTCCAATTTGAGGGAATTCGAGAGAGCCCGCATGACGGGACTCGACCAATCTAACGATTTATATCCGACTCCGTAGATTTACTAGCCCCACGAAACGCTAGGTCTCTAGCGACGTAGCTATGTGAAACCAATCGACTCATAAACCAGCCATTCAACTTCTTCAGGATTCTGGCCAAAGAAAGAAGCACTTATTTTGGATTTTCTCTTATGGGGTTCGTTTTTCTTTGGTTTAGCCCATAGATATTGCTGACATGATTCTGAAAACGAGAGATCTGAATGTAAATAAAATAAGAAGTGGACATTTATTTTTCAACGTATGCCTGAAGCTGGTGTCCAAATAATTGTTTGCACATGTACAGTTCACTAAGTGCACCGAACATAAAAAAGAAATTATCAGGCTAACTACCGCTTGTTTGATGTCCTACAGAATCTGTCTCGCTCTCTCTCTCTACCCTCTAAGTCAAACAACCAGTGTTTCTCCAAGTACCACAGTTTCTTCGCTTCAATCTACATCGCCGTCTTCGTCCTCGTCTGTACTCTGTCACAGACAAAATCATCTGAGCACTTACACATCTTCCCCACCTTTCATTATCCAAAACCTGAAGACGTACTCTTCACGACAGGATTGAAGTTGAGAAGCCTAGAGAAAGAGAAAATGTCTACTGATGCCAATGGAGACGGTGAATCCCCGACTCACCCTTTACTTTCCTCGGGAATACCATCCCTTGCAGAGTCCGCGTCCCAAGTGGCCATTGTTGGAGCCAACTTGTGCCCAATTGAGAGTCTTGATTATGAGTAAGCTTCCATTCCCTTTTCTTGCAAAATAGGAGGGAAAAAGTAGTAAGCTTCCATTCCCTTTTCTTGCAAAATAGGAGGGAAAAAGTAGCCATTTTCTTTTTTTCTTTTTGCCAAAAGAAAAGTGAGTGATCAGATTTGAGGGGATTGAAGCGGTTAATGCTGAATTTGGCAAAAGGGCTTTGAATGCAGGATCTCAGAGAATGAGTTCTTTAAGCAAGATTGGAGGACTAGAAGTACAGTCCAGATATTTCAGTATGTGCTCATGAAGTGGCTGTTGTGTTTCTTGATTGGTGGGATTGTTAGCCTTGTTGGGTTTTGCAACAATCTCGCAGTAGAAAATGTTGCAGGCATTAAGTTCGTGGTCACTTCGAATATGATGTTGGCTCAGAGGTATTGATTCTGTCAATTCTGCTCTGTGCCTATTCACAATTGCATGCTAGTCTGGTAGCCTTCTCAACATCAATGTTAATCAGACTAATAGTATGTCAATTCTTGGTTTCTAGTATAGTCGAATGGTGTACCTAGCTGGAGAGGCTTGATAAGATAAAGGTTATGCGAAGCTTTGGTCGACTATATCATCACATTGTTTTTGTGGTTAATATAGGCACAATGGAGCTTTTAGGAATAGTTCCGAGAAGCCAAACAGAGATGCTCTTTAATTAATTGGAAGACATGATTGAAAAAAGGTTCAGTTTTTTTGTTTGGTTTTATAGAATCTAACTACCCAATGAAAGAAAGGGATCTGAGTAATTTAAGTGGGTTGAAAATTTTTCTTCTACCTTGTGACGGCAAGGAGAATCTTATGGTGAAACTGTGTAATGGCTTTTGCAGGTTTGTGATGGCTTTTGTCGTCTTTTCTGTATCCAACCTTATGCTCACCTTGTCTGCGGCGCTCATCACGGCTTTTGTATCGCCAGCAGCTGCCGGATCGGGTATACCAGAAGTAAAGGCTTATCTGAATGGCGTGGATGCGCCAGGAATTTTTTCACTGAAGACATTGTTCGTTAAGGTGATACAATGGTACTTAGTTATGTGTCTGTGATTGCAAAGTTGCACATTCATCACTCGATTATCTTTTTGTCCTATCTTCTTGTTTAAGTCTGCAATGCATCAAGCATTCACGTGATATATGAATTGCAGTGCTCGATAATTGCACTAGCACTGTGTAAAGCTGTTGATTCTGGTTTTGTAGGAAGGCCATGAGCGATTTTGAGCTGTGGTTGCTGCATCGGCTCTGCCTCCAACTCAGATTGTGATTTTTGGTGTTTTTCTTTTAGCTTTTGTTTTTTTTGCCTCTATGAACCTTCTTCAAATTGTTGGAATGTGATGGTTTGGACTGATTTCATCCAATGTTTAGCCCATCTAACTTGCCGTGTTTGCCATTTTGTGATGTTCAGTGTTAATTAATTCCCCAGCTACGGTCATATAGGGGAAAGCAGTTTTCCGTTCTTTGCCTGTACTTTTTCTCCGTTTGGACAGTCTGGAACTTTAAACTTCATCTATAACATCACAAAGCACAGAGTATTTTTGTATGGGAGTTCTTAAGTAAACAATAGTCTCATCACATGTTGGTCCTAACTGACAGATAATTGGAAGCATCTCTGCTGTGTCCTCATCTCTTCTTGTGGGAAAGGCTGGACCTATGGTGCATATCGGTGCGTGTGTTGCTTCGCTGCTTGGTCAGGGCGGGTCAATGAAATATGGCTTGACTTGGTCGTGGTTACAGTTTTTCAAAAACGACAGGGATAGAAGAGATCTCGTCACATGCGGATCAGCTGCTGGAATCGCCTCTGCTTTTCGTGCCCCGGTTGGTGGGTTGCTGTTTGCCCTCGAAGAGATGGCATCTTGGTATATTAATCCGTCTCGCTGTACTTGAGTATGCCTCCTTAAGACAGCGTTTTAGAGATTTGACGAACAATTTACCTGATAATTAACTAAGGAATCTATCATATAATCATTGATAGCTTCGTCATTACTAACCATTAATGTCTAATAATTTGAGTTTACTGGTGAACGTGAATATGCGTGGGTCATTCGTACTAACCATGAATGTGAATTTGCAGGTGGAGGAGTGCCCTTCTGTGGAGGGCCTTCTATACGACAGCTATAGTAGCGATTGTACTAGGAGCGCTGATTGAGTTCTGCAACAGTGGAAAATGTGGGCCATTTGGTAAGGGCGGGTTAATAATGTACGATGTCACTTCGACAAATATCTCGTCTCACCTCCGGGATGTCCCCCCAGTTCTCCTCCTTGGTGTTCTAGGGGGCTTATTCGGCAGCTTGCATAATTTCTTGCTGGATAAGGTTCTCCGAGTCTACAATGTCATCAATGGGTAAGATCCTTCAAATGATGCTTTTCACTGTTAACCTTTTAAGGAATTCATCGGAGACAGTACAGTCGAAGAGCTCACTTTATTTTCTTATGATTTCTCTTTCCAGGAAATGTAGTCGGTACAAGATTTTACTTGCTTGCTCCATTTCCATCTTCACATCGTGTCTGTTATTCGGATTACCGTGGCTTGCATCTTGTCTACCGTGTCCAGCCAATACCGAGGAGACCTGTCCTACAATCGGACAGTCTGGGAACTACAAGAAGTTTCAATGTCCTTCCGGGCAATACAACGATCTCGCCAGCCTCATCTTTAACACAAATGACGATGCAATCAGAAATCTCTTTAGCAAAGGCACCGATAACGAATTCCAGTATTCGTCTATACTCATTTTTTTTGGCGCCTGCTTTTTCCTCGGCATATTTAGCTACGGCATCGTGGCTCCCACTGGCCTCTTTGTACCAGCAATTGTGACGGGCGCATCTTATGGACGTTTCATTGGAATGTTAATCGGTCCTCACTCAACTCTTGATCATGGTCTTTTCGCCGTGCTTGGTGCTGCTTCCTTTCTCGGTGGAACAATGAGAACGACGGTTTCTTCATGCGTAATCCTCCTGGAATTGACGGATAACCTGTTATTGTTACCACTAATGATGCTGGTTCTTCTAGTTTCGAAGACGGTCGGAGATGCCTTTGATAGCAACATCTTTGACCTAATGATGAAGGCAAAAGGGTTCCCATATCTCGAAGCTCATGCCGAACCATTCATGAGACAGCTAACTGTCGGTGATGTGGTAAAAGGCCCGCTCCAGCTATTTCACGGCGTTGAGAAGGTTGGAAATGTTGTACACGTGCTCAGAACTACAATAAATAATGGGTTCCCGGTGATTGATGAGCCTCCGCTTTCAGAATCCCCCGTTTTGTATGGTGTGATACTGCGAGCGCATCTCATAGAACTACTAAAGAAGAAGGCCTTCCTGTCCTCTCCAGAGCCAACAGGCATCGATGTCTCCGAGCAGTTTTCAGTAGTCGATTTTGCAAAGAAGGGATCGGGAAATGCCGACCAAATAGAGGACATAGTTGTTACCGAAGAGGAGGAGAACATGTTCTTGGATTTGCATCCATTCACTAACACTTCGCCTTACACAGTCGTGGAAACGATGTCATTAGCAAAAGCTCGCATACTTTTCCGTGAAGTTGGTTTGAGACACCTGCTAGTGATTCCAAAGATCCACAGGGTAAGTTCTTTATGCGTTAACAATTTTTTAAGCACTCATAATACTAGGACTATCTTTATAACTCCATAACTCTTTTCACTCGAATACGATGATACAACCACATAGTTCGAAACTCGTTTGACCATGTTTTCATTATTGACCTCCTGAGTTAGCTTATCTAGCTTCTGAGACAGATCTTCTTTTAGTTTGGAACAATTTTTTCTGTGTACTTTTTGTGGACTAGTCTGGTGGAATGCTCTTCGACTATATCTGCATTGTTAAGAATTTCTCTGAACAATAATACCCTCTATCATTTCCTCCTCCAAATTTCTCTCTGAATGTCAAATTCTGTTTCCGCGGTGCCTGTTCTAGTTGGATTAAAATATGAATGAAACTGGTTTTCTTGCTGCTCGTATAGCATCCGTGAACTCATTTAAAGTCGTATTTCAGATATCACCTGTGGTGGGGATATTGACGAGACACGATTTCATGCCAGAAGACATAATAAGCTTGCACCCGGCATTGACAAGGAGCGGATGGAAAAGATGGAGATTGACGGTTCCTCGTTGGCTAAGTCCATGTTAGTACGACAATCTTGCATTTGAAGATAGAAAATCACTTGATCACCCGTTGAGGAGGGGACTAATCACGTTGCTTATGCAACTCAGCTTCAAGCAGATAAAAATTGGCCCGAGTCCTGCTGTACTGGATATGTCCGAACAAAGTGTTTCACTGCATACCACCATAATGAAATTTTGATATCCCTCTAACTTGTGTTGCTGGAAAAATTGCCGCTTAAAAGGCGATGAAAGCTGTACCAGTAAGTTCAGTTGTTACACTTACTCATTATCTGGTCAAATTATCACATTAGTTGCCTAAAAGACGAGGCCTAGCATTGTCATTCGAGTGCGGTTTTAACCTTGTAATTTCACGAGCATAATCACAAATTAGAAGGGGCACTCAGATGTCTCAATGAGCAGATAGCATTTGAGAACATAATTCATGTTGGAACTAGCTGGTGAAACAGAGTGATTAGGAAGATTCATGCTTTGGATGACACCAAGTAGAGACAGAAACAGATAAAAATTGTCAATTCTTAAAGTGCCAAGAGCTATAGTCCAAAGTCTTCCCATAAATGAAGGGCCAATGCCTTCTATCCGAAGTTTCACTATCGATCTTCACAAATAAAAACCGATTGGTGACATAAAAAGAGAAGGAAAGACCATTCCAGTTATTGTGAAGATCAGGTAGAGCAAACAAGAACAAACTAATGAGACTGCTAAAACTGTCAGCTGTATTTTACTAACGACAGATCCTGCCAGAACACTTCAATAGAACAAGATCCCCAAACTTACATACCACCATACAGACAACTGCATATGATGTATGAAGAGAGAGAGAGAGAGAGAGAGAGAGAACTGTGATACCCAAGGCTAAGGAAGAAATGAATTTGTCATGAGTCTTAAACTCCAAATGAAGCTTTCTTGGGGTAACAAACTGGAGAGACAAGCATAACCATTCCATGTGTCTAGACAATGAACAATTTATCTGAACGCATTCTGCTACACGCACATATTTGAGAACTGACTCTCACTACCCTCTCCTCACACTATTGAGATAGTCCACCCTTATCCCCCACAACTCTTCACCCACAACATTCATATCGGGCCGATCCGATCGTCCGGGCGCAGCACACTGAAAAGCCAAATTAAAAATCCTCATCAGAATATCTCTATCCACTCTTTCCTCCATTATCGGGTCCATGAGGTCCACGACATTTCCTTCGTTGAACTTCCTGAAGGCCTGTACACATAATGAAACATTGGCTAAATGACCAAATCTTGAGAGAATGAATTTATTTTCCACCAACAGGAGCAAGTTTTAGCTTACCCATCTAAGTGTCACCCGTTCATTGACTGGCTTCTTTGCATCAACAGGACGACGTCCAGTTAGGATCTCTATGAGCAGGATCCCAAAAGAGTACACATCGCTTTTGGGGGTGAGCTGATAGGTTCTCATGTACTCTGGGTCGAGATAACCCACTGTGCCTTTCACTTTGGTGGAGACGTGAGTTTTATCGGTGTCGCCGGCACCTAGCCTTGCAAATCCAAAATCCGCCACCTTAGCCCTCATGCTATCAGTCAAAAGAATGTTGGATGACTTCACGTCTCGGTGGATAATTTGCTTCTCTGCAGAGCACGATAAAAGGAAACGAGGAAAAGGAAGGCTGTTAAATGTGGGTATAAGAAGTTTTCAACTCGCTGCGAAGCTTTCGGGACGATGCATCAGTACACGGTACAAACAGGTTTTTGTTCACAGCATGATGTATTAATTCAACATGCTTCATGAAACAAATGGAGTAATTTGCTGATGAGGGTTTCAGCAACTGGTGCAAGAAGGGGAAATTTCTTCACCTGAGTATAAGTGCAGATAAGTCAGGCCATGAGCAACATCAATTGCAACTTCGAGCCTTTGATTAAAATCGAGGATTCTCCCGTGTAGACCTGCAAGAAAGTCAAGTGAGATGCCCGCAATGTTATTCTGCCCAGAGAAAGAGATGGCTTTCACAGTTAGTAATCTCACCATCCAAATGTTCTCTAAGAGTACCATTTGGCACATACTCTGTAATAATAAGACGCTCATTTCCTTTCTCGATATAACCAAGTAGCTTCACCAGACTCCGATGATCAATTTTAGAAAGAAGCTGAACTTCACTGCTAAATTCAGTTCGCAAACTCTCAAAGTGTTCCTGCACAGAAGATTTGCAATTGAAAATGTCCAGAGATAGCTCTCGCGCCATCATCCAAAACCCAATTCATACTTCACATTACATGGGAAGTGGGTATAACCTACTTTCCCATTCTAAAGTCGAGTCACATTTTAGCTGCAATTTAAACCAAAAATGCAGATTGGATAATGTAATGCTGACTTGACCTTGTCAAGAAAACACAACATATTATAATGAAGGAGAACCGGACCCAAAATATCGAACCAACAGTCCTACTCTGACAAAAATGAGAAAATGGGAAAGTACTTGTCTAGTCTAGCTAACGAAAGAGACATGATCCTAGCATGCACAGACAACGAGCCCATTTCTACGAATAGCGAGTAGTCAAACCATTCCGTGCAATTATCTTTTGCAAAATGCATGCATCCTGTAATGAGATAATTAAATTCTTCAAAGCATAAACCAGAGTGTTGCAGGAAACTATGTTCTGTGGAATTGAACATTCTTAAACCTTCTGGACTCTTTTGGAAAATGCATGATGCATCATTTAATGAGATAATTAACACTTCAAAGCACAAACCTGAGAGTTGCAGGAAACTATGTTCTCTGGATTTAAACATACTTAACCTTCCGGACTCTTTTGGTGATATCAGCAAAAGTGGTTCATAAAAAATTGGCACCAGCAGAGTCAATAATAGAGAGGAAATCAGCAATGCCACTCACCTTCTTTGCTCGTTTTATGGCAACAAACTGCCCACCTTCTAACTGTGCCTTATACACAGTTCCAAACCCCCCTTCTCCTATTTGCATTGAGGGAGAAAAATTGCGAGTAGCTTTCAAGATTTGACTTAAACTGAGATGCAATGATCCAAGTCTACTGAGTTTCGGGGACATGGAAAATCTGGATGGACTAGGTGGCACCCGAAGTGGACTCCCTGGAATCTTTTCAGGCGGAGAAAACTTTTCAGGAGCAGGACGCTCTTCCGATATGGGAGTAGAATTTACTGGAATGAACAAAAACTCTTTATCACTGACCAACCCATTGAAGAATTTGATGTAGCTATCAAATTGAACACTCATTCTAGTCAAAGACGAGCAGAAGAATTTCTATATGAAGAATTTTTTATGGTGACATTCCAACAAGATCTAAGGAATTACCTGAATTCAGATCCTTTGGAAGGACAGTTTGAGCAGCTTCTTTTCTTTTTCTGTAGAAGCAGGGACAGGCTAAAACACAAGATAGAGCTAAAACTCCAGGTACAACCAAGCTGACGCTTTTATGGGTTAAAAGAAAGTTTGGACTTTTCTTCTGTTCTTTCTCGTGGCTCTGTTCATCAACTTTGTCATCACTAACTTCTGTCTGCAGAAACTTTCTTCCTCCATGAAAATGCGTTCGAACTGACCCTCCCAGAAACCATAAAAGGAAAAAGAAAAGGTGAGAATTTGGTAAAAATGAGCCTCTATATTCATTGCACATAAAGCAGTTCAATAAGTCTCAACCACTTACTAGCACATCCCAAATATTAAATCCATACCTAGAGAAAGATTTATCCCAGAGCAATTAGGTCCAGGGTAATCCTCAAGGTCGCAACCATCCTCATAGTGATATTTGAGGGCATTGCAGAACTGATTTTTGTCTACTATCTCTTCATTAATGTAAAAGAATTCACTACCAGAATAACCTGAATATGCCAGTCGATCAGCGCCACAAACCTTTGACTTCAAGTGGAAATCAGTGGCAGATATCCTCAGCAATTGTGGGAGCAGAAGGAGTATTGTTGTGACTATTGCCATTGTCGATTAATACATATGTCAAAGCCTCTATCTTCAATAGATAAATACAAAGGCACCTAACATCTGCATATCTTGAGCAGACAACCCAAACTAAGAAATATCAGTGAGCCCAATAACCAAGAGTATAATTAGGGCTTTAATTTCCCCTATCAGGTAATTCAAGCACTCGTGACCATCTTACAGCGTCAGAAATCTTCAAATCGCATAGAGAATCAACTTCAAGTATAGAGAGAAGAGAAAGAAGGAGCTGAAAGCTAATAGCCACACTCGCTGAATTTGAGGCTTTATAGAATCAACGCAAAATTTTTAACTGGCCGTAAACTCCAAGGCTTCGAAAACACCTGAGTTCAATTTCTCGCCGTAACTGCGAATCAATTAGATGCCTTGAAAAGAACCCAATTCGCAAAACTACAAAAAGATCGAGACCCGATACAAAAGGAAAGCTGATCTCCCGCTTCATGTGCTTTATGACCCAGAAATTCTTGAAGCACTTTCTTGATAGTGCACCATAATTCGATGAAATCCTTACATGTCCACCCAGCAAGAACCTATCTTCGTGAGGGAAAACAGAAACAGCTTCCCGGACTCACTCTCCACAATCCCCCAAAATCTGAACTAAACCAAGCATCCCAGAATTCCCAAAAGTTCCTCCTTCTCCTTCACCCCAAAAGCTTAGACTTCACTCCAGACCCAGATGGGAAATCACACAGAAGACACAACCCAATCACTGATCAGAAGATTGAGGGACAAGATTCGTCAAGCTCCAATCATCGACCCCTCCAAGTTCCTAAGCTCCCACAGAGCAACAAAACCCTCATGAGATGCCACTTACTTTGATCTCACAAAAAGTTAAATAAACAAAGAAGCACCAACCTGGAGAATTCCCCCCACAAAGAAAAATAAAGGCGGCTGAAGCTTGAGACAAAGCCTCTCCGTTGTGGGACGTTTGTCTTGTTTTTCCTTTTTATAGCTGTGAAGAATTAAATGGGAAAGCTTCACATGACCGGCCTAAACAGAGGTAGACGATGATGTAACGCATTGGCCGTCTACAAAGGCCACAAGTAAACGCAGGCATTTCGAACAGTGCTCGCAGGGTGGACAATTTTGACCGGTCTTGGGGTCGCTTGCTTTGCCCGGAAGGCCTCTTCAGTGGCATTTTGTTTATTTTTATCACCTACATCACGCCAACAAGTTGATTGATTGATTGATTTTTTTTTTGGTCGATCCTACTCTATCTCTCGTTCACTCACGATACACACTCAGACTTGCGCCCCACCTCTTGCAAGGCGTGGGCATCGAAATCCACATCTTAAACTACGCGGCCCCACCGCTACCCCTGCGAAGGTGGGGAGTTCGAATCTCCACCTCCCCCTTCTCAAGTGAGAAGGGTGGCCACTAGGTAAACCCCCAGTGGTTGATTGATTGATTGATTGCTGAGCTCGTTTTTAGCCCTTTCCTTTTGGCTAAATTTCAGGAATACTCCCCTGTATTCCAGTGCAAATGGCAGGAATCAATACCTTCTTCCAGAGAGAGGTTCGACCCGGTCTTGACCGGCGAGAGTCAATGGATCGACCCCTGTCGATTTTCGTGGAAAATGGTTCATCCAGTAGAATTTTTCTCTTTCGTCGAGTGTTCCCACAAGATTACAATTTGACCAGCGATTTTCATTCCTCGTGCTTGTTGTGGAGGAAGTGACGAAATGTATCCCATCGTGGCCCAACTCCAGCATAGTATTCCCCACAAGTAATCTGATATGGCGTTTCATTTTGTTCTCTTTTTTCGGCAACTGCTGCTAGTCAAAGTCTTCAAATTGCTAAGAGGGGCATCAAGAAAACTAATGAATTTAGGTTCTCTGGTTGGAAAGCGTTCAAGAAATCAGCTACAATCTTCTCATGGTTGTTAATCTGTGATCTGCCCTTAATCTAGAAGCACATATTGGGTCCTTTGACATTTCAAAAGCTTGGAGAGGGTGGCCAAGGTTAGGTCTTGAGGGTGGAGTTTGAATGCTTAAAAGTGTTAACCACTCCAGCTTTTGTATGGTATGTATTCTTTATTGGGAAAAGTTGCACAGCTATGTGAATCTACTATCATGCGTATTTAACCACGAAGTCATGGAATACCCCCTTTGATTTTGCAGGCCATGGAGCCAGGGTCCGGAAGGGTGGCACGTACATGAGATTGTTTGCACGAGATGAACAGAGAAATCGACCCGGTTAATGCTCGGTCTGCGCACGTACACGTCCATCAGTAGCTCGGTGTGCAACGTCACGGCGCTCGTAAATGAGTTACGTAGTCGATCCAAATACCGAAAGTGTCAAGACAACGCGCACCAGAGGAGAGAGGGGGGGGTGGGAAAGGAAAAGTGAAAACGCCTCGTGGTTTCGTTGCTTGTGACAGTGTAAAAAGGGCCACACGTGCTGTTGAAAAACACCCGAATTATGCACGAATGATTGTAGACAAGGAACCGAGTGAAAAGGATCCGACTACGTACGCACACACGAAAAATATCAAAGCTCGGCGCGCGACAATGATTGATGGCCGCCCCCTTTTGGGGAATGGACAATGGTGGGCATTGCAGGTGGGGCGGGCCTCGCCAGGAAAATCCCAAGAAAGCACACGGAAAGTCTGGTCCCCTGTGCTATATGCCGCAGGGCTTAGCTTTTTGAACGCAAGTTGTTGAGCAGTGTTTGGTGATTAGGGCTCTTTTGAGTCTTGGAGTTCTTGTATTCAGCTATGTTCCTGGTGGGTGGGACTCCTGGTGGTACAAATTTGATTATTCTAGGGTTCAGGAGGCCAGCTGCAATTTGAGAAGTTTAGGAGCAGCCAAAAGGGGGTATATGCTCCTAGTAATCTTCTTCCCTGATCTTCTCGCGTGTCTTCGAGCAAAGGTGGTGTCCGAGAAGGAGGGAATCACGATGGAATTAGGGTGCATTCGTTTCGCGAAAAGAGGAAAACATGGTTATGGAAAACCCTTTTTGGCATCAGAAAGGGAAAACAAAGTGCCGGCCGAGAAAATGTACGGTTTCCACTTTGAGAAGATCGAAGGTCATTTTCGGAATCACTTGAAGTTCCAGCATCTCGTCACTCAAACTCAGGTTGCCCCGCAGCCGGAGTGCTTGTTGCGGAGCCAAGGGTTCCAAGGGCCTCGATTGTCGGATCCATTCGAATGTTAACCAAATCCAGGTCTCCAGTGATCACTTCCAAGATCGAGTGGACCGAACCCGAATCCTCAACTACTAGACTAGGGATTTGGGGCCGAATACGAGACCCTCGACATCCAATATTTTGAGGCTGAGCCGTTGTTCCCTATTGAAAAGCATATCAAGATTTTCTTCTTTATACATGCCAAACACTTAAAAAAAAATACTATAATTTTAAATTATTTTTTTCGCCATGAAGATATCTTCCAAACTAGAAAAGCAGTTGCATTGAACAAATTGACCGTTGCCCGACAGTCGTGACTGGACTATGCAATGAGACTTTTGAGCTTGCACACATTTGCCTTCTTTAAATTGTTTCTACTATGAGTCAAAGATCATTTATGAGAAGAGAAAAAGGGCAGGAATTCTCTTTTGGATTTTCTCTCATTTCCTGTTATTCACACCAAATTCAGCCGAGTTGTCGACATGGATGAGCACGTGATTAATACATGAACATGAGCAATCATGTGATTGACACGTGACTAGTACATGGGCATTTGTCATGCACGCGACACATTGCTGATGACCGCATCAATTAACAATTGATATTTGGCATACGCATCAGCAAGACATAATAGTAAATCTGCCAATCAGTTGTCGATATACGATGACGATAGGCGAGTAATCACCAATGAATATGCTGATGAGCGAAGGGTGATGCACAGTTCAATGAAAACATAGGAAGAGTTGAAGTACAACTCAAAGTTCCAAGCCATCAGAGGCCCAAGCAATTAACACGACGGGGCAGCTACAAGAGAAGCATTAAGGTATAATTGCAAGTTCAAGATCACGATACTGGGCAGTTGAGATTGTGAAGCAACCGACATGAACATTGTGAGAGGGCAACGATTCGAGAACAAGATTATGAGATTGTGAGAACGTGGACACGAAATTGTCGGGATGAAAACCACTTGGGAACAAGGTTGCACACATTCTCAAAGGAATAACAGCGGAAGAACAAAGTCAAGAGATCGTGGAAGTATGGGCACGAGACTTTCGGAAGGACATGAAGGCAATCGACGGAAACCGTTTGAGGAGAACACAATAGTTAGAAACCACCAAGAAGCAATCACCACACCATCGCTATAAATACCACTAGCTATCTAATGAAACCCCCCACACAGATCAAACAAATTTGCTACCTTTCATTATCTTTACTTTCGTGCACCGTCTTTTATCTTTCAAGACTCGCGCCGTCGATTAAATTTCGACGTGTTTTTTAGCTGTAGTTTTCAGATTCGCGTCGTCAATTAAATTCCGGCGTGTATCTCTATCTTATGTATTGCATCATCGATTAAATTCCAGTGTGATGTATTCGCGTTCTCAAGCTTGGTTGTCAATTAATGCAGAGCTTGTTCATGTTTGGTTCATTTGTAATAGATGTACCTTTCAAACTTTGTTGTCCATTAAATCCTAGCGCGATTTGAGTTTGTGCAGTTTGGTTCGAAGTCAAGCTATTGATTTCCCTATTTGGCCGGATATCTTCAATTCGGAATTGGCGCAGAATTCATCTCCTTTAATAAAAACCGAAAAAACGACGGGGAAAGTTAATTATTTCGTTTGCAGGAGAAATTCGAACGAAACACCGGTCAAATTTGTCTGACTACGACACATGATGATTTGTCCTCATATCATCTTCAAGCAACCAAGCCAACATCCTTCGATGATACTTACTTATAATCGACAACTTGTTTAAAGCAGACGCGTGCAATCGGTGCGTTCGATGATGTCGTGGATTGACACGCACTGTTCGATTCTCTTCATGATCCAACTTTGAAAAAATGGATGCAAGTCCACAGGCGGTGGAGTTGATAATGAAATGAAACCACCAAACTAAACAGGACAGGAGCCCCACGACGTGACATTACTCATTATGGCCGGTACTTGGACAGAAATACCCGCTTTAGGTTTGGATCAGCTCCAAGGACGTGGAATAATTTAAGCATTTCGTGGAAATACTTATTCAAATGTTTTCGGCACCTTGATCAGTGACGGATAAAGAAGAGTGTAAATCTCGCCCGTTAATAATAAAAATCTTCAAATATTTCGAGAAAAAACGATCAATTCAGTTCTAAACCTATTATACATCGATCAATTCAATCCTAAATTTTTAATTGTACAATTTTTTTAGTCGAATAATTGTGCCGATTTAATCTTAAACCTTTTAGCGATTTGCCAATATAGATTTCCAACTAGAACTACCCAAAATGATTATTTTAGCAAATTGTCGAAAGGTTTAAGACTAAATTGCCGCTGTACAATAGGTTTAAGATTAAATTGGTACAATCGAAAAGTTTATGACGAGTTGGTCATGTACGATAGGTTTAGGACTTTTCATATAATTATCCCAATTGTTGAGTGTTGTGATATTTTATATAAGAGTTACGGAAATCGTGAGTAACTACAACTCGGGTATCCGTTTTTTTAGAGTATCGCAAAACTGCCCGTCAACGAGATGAAGGTACCAAGATCGAGCATGCGATTACCATTAGCATAGACGGATCGACCCACCTCTTGTCGCTCGGTGTTTAGGGCAATTTTTACATTAGAAAGACGTACCAAATTTTCATGAACATATCGAAGTCTTCCCCTCCTTTGAGATAAGGAGCTCTAAAACATTTTTATATTGTCCCTCCTAACTGAAGTTTCTGCGGCCACGCCGACCATGAAGAGCGGTTAGCTTAGGTTATTAAGGTGAAGAGCGACCGGACTGTGTTTGTTCCGGGGTAATCTGTGGTCGTCGACGTCGGACTCTGACCGTTCCCGGTGGTGTCGAGATGAAGATTGGCGGAATTGGTGTCGTGGAGGAAGGTCATTTTGAGTGAGGAGAAGATCGTAGCCATTCAATCATAAACCTTTTAATTTAGTCAATTTAATTGAAATCATTTTCATAATTTGCCAATATAGTCACTCCGGCC